TGGAAGCAGTTAGAAGAGGAGACACTGATGGTGTAACACTTGTTCCTGCAGCTCCAGGAGGTGTTTGAGGACGTGGCCGTGTATTTCACACGGAGGGAGTGGGAGCTGCTGGACGATGACGACAAGGTGCTTTACCGGGACCAGATGCTGAAGAATTTCCAAGCCCTCGTTTCCCTGGGTAAAGCTCTGGTTCTTTTGCTCTCTCTGGAGTACTTGACAGAAGCCTTACCGAGAGTGCAGGAACAAACCATCCTGATGTGCAGGAAGATTAACAAGCATGGCAGAAGACCAGCTTGGCTTAGCAGGGGGTGTCCGGCAGGGCAGCAGCTCTGCATGAAAGGGCCTGGGGGTTAGAGTGGACAATCAGCTGAAAATGAGCCAGCGGTGTGCCCTTGCTGCCAAGAAGGCTAATGGCATCCTGGGCTGCATTGGTGCGTGTGTTGTCAGCAGGCCAAGGAAAGTGATTCCTCCCCTCTATTCAGCACTGGTGAGGCCGCATGTGGAGTACTGTGTTCAGTTTTGGGCCTTTGGGTATGGACAAACAGGGGAGAGTCGAGTGGTAGACAACGAAAATGGCAAGGGGCCGGGGGAGATGACCTGTGAGGAAAGACTGAGGAAACGGGACTGACTTAGTCTAGAGAAGAGACTGTTTGGCAACCATTGATCTTTCCAGATCATGGTGTATGCATGGGAGGTCACCCATCCCCATTGCAGGGAGCCAGGGGTGCTGGCATTGGAAGGCTTGGTGAGGGCACATGGGAAATTTTGCATCCCTACCTGTCATCGGAGGCTGCCCAGACCTTCCACCCCCTTTTGGCCACCGAGACGTTTCATGCCTCCCTGACTGTATTTGTATAAGTGTCTGGAAGTTGAACCCAGGTCTTTTGTGTGGCAGACAAGGATGAACCACGGGGGACTCCAGAAGAGGACACGGAGAGGGGACTTAATAGCAGCATTCAACTCCCTGAAGGGAGGTTCGAAAGGGAATGGAGCCAGACTGTTCTCAGTGGTGGCAGATGACAGGACAAGGAGCAGCCGTCTCAGGTTGCATCCTGGGAAGTTTAGGTTTGATGTTAGAAGAAGGTTCTCACTAGGAGGGTAGTAAAACACTGGAACGGGTTACCCAGAGAGGTGGTGGAAGCTCCAGCCTTGGAGGGTTTCAGGACCCGGCTAAAAGCTTTGGCTGGGATGATGTAGTTGGCGCTGGTCCTGCTTTGAGCAGGGGTTTGGACTAGATGTGACCTCCTGAGGTCCCTTCCAACCCTGACTTCCTGTATTTCTATGTGACCTCTGGAGTTTCATAGTCTGCTTCCTGTGTTTCACACTCTTACCCTCGAGCACTTTTGGCTGGTGGTTTAAATGTTTCTCCCCACTGCTTTGTCAGTGATCAGACCCGTCTCACGTTTCATACTGATAGATCCTCCTTCATTTCATCGATCCGCCTTCACTTTTGTCTTCCCCAGTCTTGTAACTCCTGGTGCTTCCATATGCAGCAGTTTCTTGACAACATGGTTCATAGATGCTAGGGTCGGAAGGGGCCTCAACAGATCATCGAGTCCGACCCCCGGCCATGGGTAGGAAAGAGGGCTGGGGTGAGA